TCAGTTCTATCTATAGTTCACTTGAAACTAATAAAAAATTGTTTCATGGTCATTCAGGTTAATCAGAAGATGATGAAATCTGCCATGATAAAAGATTTATACTCTGAAATTGACCGGCTGAAGCAAGGTCAGTAATTGTTTTCTCGGCGTGTAACACATGCTCATTTAGTTTTATTTGCAGATTATTTTAAAATTGAAATGCTGGCCATATATCTGCTTGACTGCTTCCATGTATATAAGCTTATTCAAAGACCATTTTTAATGCCAATCAGAGGTATATGCTGCAAGAGAGAAGAATGGCATTTATATACCTAGAGACAGATACCTTCAAGAGGAAGCCGAGAAGAAGGTTAGTGGCTATCTTTGAATTTTCATTATCACATTGATCCATCAAACCATTTCCTGACAAATATACAAGTTATCATCTTTCAGGCTATGGCTGAAAAGATAGAACGAATGGAACTTGACATGGACTCCAGAGATAAGGTATCAAACAAACTTGATGTTGACTACATTTGGACTGCACAGTTTCTTTGAGAAGTTAAATTTGTAATTGCGTGTTCTTGCAGCAACTAATGGAGCTTCAGGAACTGTACAGTTCTGAACAGCATTTGAGTGCAGATTTGATTGACAAACTTGAATCAACAGAGGTTTGAATATGTAAATCAAAGACATTCAACTTTTTACTGACATCAGTTTCAAAAACATAACAGGATTTTTTACTGTTCTGCCAGAAAAAGCTTCAGGAAACTCAGTATATGTTGTCTGATCTGGAAGAAAAACAGAGGCAAGCAAATACAACAATAAAAGAAAAGGAATTTCTGATATCCAATCTTCTGAAATCTGGTAAGCTCCATGATATGCATGCTTTCCGTATGCAAATGTCTTTTCTATTATATTTTTCTCTATCATTTCCCATCACCTGATTGGTTCCCCTCAATATAAGAAGAATTTGTTCTCATACCATGAGCTTTTACATCATGATAACTTTTACACCAAATTTTCAATGAACAGAAAGGGCACTTGTTGAGCGTGCCTTTGAACTTAGAGCTGAACTGGAGAATGCTGCATCAGATGTGTCAAACTTATTTGCCAAGATTGGTTAGTGTGACAATGAAATTTCTCTTGTATCATATGAAATCTTTGCATAAAAATAGTGCAGCTGCTTATATTGCATTAATTACTTTCCAGAGCGCAAGGACAAGATAGAAGATGAGAATAAAGCTCTCATCCAAAAAGTTCAATCCCAACTGAATCAACAGCTTGATTTCCTGCATAAGACCGTTGCTGCTTCTGCCACACAGCAAGAACAACAGCTCAAAGCCATGGAAGAAGACATGAATTCTTTTGTGTCTACTAAGACTCAGGTATTTCTTGAGAAATTCTTTTGTGTCTACTAAGACTGAGGTATTTCTTGAGAAATTGAATCAAGCATATTTTACTCTTGGTGTATTGACAACAGCATAGATTTCTCTTTTTGTTGTCTTAGGCTACCGATGAGCTACGGAGTCACCTAGAGAAACTAAAAGTCATGTTTGGGTCTGGCATACATGCCTTGGATGATTTAGCAGGAAAGCTTGATGGTAATTCACAGTTGACTTTTGAACAATTAAATTCTGAAGTTTGTAAGCACTCGTCTTCTGTGGGAGAGGTATGTGTATCATTTGCAAGTTTGCCATTCTTTTTCTGTTAAGTGTTTGTCTCTTATCTCTCTTGTATGAATGGCCAGCTCTTCAAGGGGATTGCTTCCAAGGCGGATACATTGATTAATGACCTTCAAAGCAGTCTTCATAGTCAGGAGGAAAAGTTAATTGCATATGCTCAACAGCAACGTGAGGTATATACCAAGAAGTTGTGTTTTCCATTTTGCTCTCCAAGTTTTTCCAACTCAAACTGAAGTGTCACAATAATTTCCAGGCTCACTGCAGGACTATCACAACATCAAGGTCTATCTCCCAAACAACCACAAGTTTTTTCAGGGATTTAGACATGCACATATCACACCTGGGTCAAAGGGTCGACGAAGCACAGGAAGTCAATGCCCAAAAGTTTGCAGAGCTTGAAAGGAAGTTTGAGGTGTTTTGTCTGCTCTGCCATCACAATGTTTTTAGCATAAATAACATATATGAGTGCTTGATATAAACATCACACATAAAATTCCATATCTTATGTAGGAATGTGCTATGAATGAAGAAAGGCAGCTCTTAGAAAAAGTAGCAGAATTGCTTGCAAGCTCAAATGCACGGAAGACTAAACTGGTATGTTGTATACAATACTCATTTGATTCACACCCAGTTGTGTGGTAGCTTTCATAGGTCTGGCACTTCATGAAACCCGAATTTTTAATCAGTGTCTTTGTAGAATAGAACCGTCTTTGTAGCCATTATAACCCTCTGCAATTTCGTTTATGTGTTTTATAAAACCCTATCCTTAGGCCTTGGTTGGGTAACCTAAAGTTTGCTGATGCAAATGGCAATCGTTTTTATCTTTCTTGCTAGGTTCAAACTGCAATCAGTGGGCTTCAGGAAAGTACCTCCAAAAGGACAAATAAGATTAAACAAGAGATGTCAACCATACACGACTCTAGTTCTACAGTGCAAAATGAATGGACATTTTTCATGGAAAAAGCTGAATCAAATTACAGAGAGGACACTGCATCCGTGGAGAAAAGAAAAAACGAAATGGAACAAGTCCTACAAAATTGGTATGTTGGACATCAAGTGCTTGTTTGGATTGACTAGTAAAAAACATTTTTCCAAATAATAACATTTTTAAGAAAGCACCAATTTGGTGTTTTTTGTTGAGAGGAGGTGCTGTATAAATCATCATCATTACCCCAGTGCTGCAAAGGCTCCCACCGTATGTAGGGGGTCGGATGTACGCAGTCTTCCCGTGTACTAAAGCACAAAGAGACTGTTTCCGGATGATCCGTAGTGAAAATCGAGTCGAAAATTACATTGACTAAATGCGACTTCATAATAAAAATATTCCATCATATTCCAAAGCCAAAAAATAGCGAGTCGTCGGCTCCATTGCAAATGATGGAAATTAGATGCTGTATAAATAGTAGCAAAAAAATACTTTTGAAACTTTGATAAAGTGTTTTTATCAGTACGAAAAGTCATCTGAACCAAACAGGCTCCACATCTTAATAAATATGCGTCTGATATTCCACATCTTCTTGATTGTCTTATATACTTATACTAAAACCAATTTTCCACAGCTTGCACACGGCAAATATGGGGGCACAGCAATGGAGTGATGCTCAAAGATCTTTGCTCAATCTTGAGGAAGCCAATGTAGCTTCTATTCATGGAATAGTTAGGTTCGTTCAAAACAGATCTGTTCTTGTCTTGATGAATAATAATGTGATTTAGTTAAATGTTTTTCTCTTGTGTTGTATACAGGGAAGGGTTGAATGCCAATCAGTCCTTGAGGTCACAGTTTTCCTGTGGTGTATCATCTGCACTTGAAGATGCAGACAGTGCAAGCAAGAATCTTCTTTCATCTATTGACAGTAAGTCATCAACTTCTTGCAGAAAAAGCTTTTTTTGGATAAGCTCGTTATTTAAATACTTATAATAATAATGCAGATTCTTTACAACTTGATCGGGATGCATATGAGAACATCGACTCCATGATTGTTCCTTGCTGCGGACAACTGAGAGAGTTAAACACAGGACATCTCCATAAAGTTGCTGAGATTAGAGAATATGCAGGAAAATGTCTGTCAGAAGAATACACGGTAAGGCCATGAGTGGAAGAAGCAAATACTATAGAATAATATAGTTAATGTTAATAGAGATTTACGTGAACAATATATTTGATGTTTTTCTTTGCCAAGGTTGATGAGCCATCAAATTTGACCCCAACGAAGAGATTGTTCAAACTTCCAAGCGTGGATTCTATAGAAGAACTGAGGACGCCAGGTTTTGAGGAGTTAATAAGGTCATTTTGGGACGCGAAGTCATCAAAGCAACAGCAGCAGCCGAATGGAGATGTAAAACACATTGTGGAGAGCCCTCAAAGCTTGAGAGATTCAAGAGTTCCCCTTACTGCTATCAATTGAATTCAATGTTAGGTACATTGTGTACAGTAGCAGCAGTAGCATCAAGTCTTCTGTAATCTGGTGTTTCTCCTTAAATATTCTATTTAAGTTTTTGATGGTGGGTGCTATTGTTATGCTCTTCTAAATCATTCAGTCGGTTGAATGAGCCACGGTTCTTAAGTTCCTTTTGATTTTTTTTATCAGCTGAAATATGTGAAACAAATAGTTTATTTTACTAACACATATAATATATATTCTTTGGTTTAATTTGATCACATCTACCGACTACCACCCCAGGCTTTGGACAACTTACCAATTAAACCTCAAAGTGTTTGAAAATTACAAGGAAATTCATGATCGGTTCAATCAAAATGATTGATTGAATTAGTTACCACAAATTGAATATGTGAAATGAAAAGTAGCAACTCTTAAAAAATTGTCCTAGAACGGAACATTGTCGTCGTATTGAATTTGGTTATTGTCCATGCAACCAAACACGATATTTAAAACTTTCTCTAAATATTGTTGATAATATAATCTGAAGACTCAATTCCTATTGACGACAACATTACCAATAAACCCTCAAAATTTCTGAAAATTAAAAGTAAATCCGTCTATTAGAGTATAACTTCCTAGCTTTCGATAACCATGATTCTCTGCAAAAAAATGGGATTTAATGCTCCAAATCTTCTCATGAAATATAAATTCAACGTATTAACCTTCTATGATTTAAAAAATGCGTCAAATCTCTCTGTGTTATATTTATTCATGCGTCAAATATTAAGGCTAATTTAATCTTGAAAACTCGATTCCCAGCCCATTGAGTTCATGACACCCTATCCCTTCAGACTTCAGTTGTTTACAAAAAAAATCTTACAGGACGTCTTACTCTTAATTTTCAGAAACCTCAAAGCAGGTAGAGATGTATGCACTAAAACTTTCAAAAGATAAACGTTTAGATGCAATCACCACCATTATGAACCGTTCTTTTCATGAATACATTTTTAATACATGCTAGGTAGTATGAAGCGAACTTTCATACATTGGCGAAACCAAAAGATGTTGCCTAATCATTGGAGTTCATTATGGTGTGAAGCCCTACTCTTTTATTACTGTAGTAACTGTGTCATCCGCCAAGATGATAATATATTCAGAATGCTACTGTAGTTTGAACATTTGCATGCATCACTAATATACATAATTTCTTTACGTGCGAAAGGCGTAGCAAAATAAGTTCTCTGTAGCAGTCAATGAATGTCTACGATAATATGCTGAATAGTGTGTCATCCATTCTATCCATCCATTACACAGCCTGAAAACTGCATGGGGAATCCCAAATTAAAAATTAATACAAAAACAATGAAATGTAACAAAAAAGAGCATATAATGAGACCAGATAAGCTGTACATACTCTCATTTTAAGCAATGTTGGTTCTCTATGTTTCATCATCATTGTCATCAAAATTGTCAATCGTGGAATTCTCCTGACACATCAAACTACTTGATCCTGGAAAATCTGGAGGAGCCACTGCTTCTTGGTGGATAACGTTGTTGCTGCCATCCTCCTCACCGTGAAGAGCATCCCGGGCATCATCATCATCATTATAAGGAGCAATGGTGATCGCAGCAGCAGGAGCATCTCCTTGGTCAATAACATCTTCTTTCTTTTGCCTTTTCCACTTCTTTGTGGATGAAGTCCCATCATCCTCGAAATCCTCTTCCTCCCTATCTCGGTGCAAGTACACCCACAACTTCCTTTCCGTATCGAACTGCACACATGGGTCCCGCTCGTAATGCAAACGGTCCAAAGCACCACTGACCACCTGATTCACCTGCGTATCCGATACCTCCTCAACGATGTACTGTGAATCCCTTATCAGGGTACAGACATCAGCCCTCGTCCCGATACTCCCGGGCAACCGGGCAGCTGCATCCCGCACCAGACACAGAATTGTCACATGTGGGGGTCTGTCCCTTTTGAGCATGAAGTGGTCCCGGGCTTTCGATGTCGGTTTCCCCCCACACCTTCTCAACGGGGCCACGATCGACTTTTTCCCATCGAGTGCTGTGTAAGAGAAGGCCCTGTCTGGGATAGAATACCTAAGGACTTCTTCCTTCCGGAAATAAGCCCTTACATCTTCTAAGCTTGGGGTAATGGTGCTGAGACTCTTTTGTGCCCTCAAATCCCTAAACCGCTCTTTCTCGTCTAGATTATATTGGGCCAATGAGGAAGGAGGGGCGGGTAGACTCCCAATCTGTTGGAGAGTCTCCTGACCATTTTTCAGCCAGTTGGCGAACGAGTCGACTAATTTCACAAGCATTTTATGGTTAATACCCCAAGCTTCTGGAGATGTGACTTCCTCCTCCATTGAGGCCTCATGATGTATCATGGGACCCACCCAAGACCAACTCTTTGACGGTTTCTCATAAACAACAAGCGGCTTCCACCCCTTTGCCCCTAAAGGTGCTGTTTTGGACGATAATATTTTGAGGACCCCTCTAACCAGATCCTGGAGAGGTTCTTGGGTTTCAAGAATGGAGGGGTCTCCGGGGTTGGATCTTACTCGGTTGACGATTTCTTGAATCGCTAGTGATGGGGCAGCCCTCGTTTCATGAGTAGGAGAAAGGGAGCTTTTATTGGCATCCAACTCCGCTTGTTGGTCACCATTCTTGCCAACAACATCCAGAGAATCTTCTAAGAGTAGGGATGTGATCATAGCCATCCGAATTGCTGAGAGAAGATGGATGATGGAGAAGGAAAAGCCAGTATGGACAGTTGGTGTGATCAAAATGAATGGTTTTTTCTGCAGTGGTATGACTTCTGGATGATGATAAACAGCATTGTCTTCCTCTCTAGTAATGATGTCCAATGGCAGTGGCAGTGGCTCAAAGATGATACCTTTTTCTGAATCACTCTCCAATTTTCTCTTTCCCCGCTGCTTCTTTGAGGAGCTCATGTCCTCAGCTTGCTGTGCATTGTTATAATCATTATTATCAACAGCTTGCTCATCAATAAATGAGACGCCCTCTTTGATTTTCCGTTTCTTCACTGTAGAACTGCATCCTATTAACTGTAACTCAGATCTTTCTTGAAGATCAACACCGTACATTTCAAGCATACCATTTGACTGGGGACCCCCAAAATCACCTTTCAATGATGCCCCTTTAATACGTCCATTCTTTGCTGCTAACTTGTAGATCGGTTGGTCATCATCCTCATCATTATCACCAATGTAATGACGAGCATGGCCCCTTAAGTAGTTCTCATCCAACTCTTTAGCAGATAAAATATTCACATGCCCATAATCAACAGCCATCTTACCCTTCTTCACTGTCCTCCTAGAGACAACAAGATCCATCCCTTCTTTTGGTGTGCTTAATATAGCTTCATCAAAATCAGAAGACTGAAAACCACCCTTCTTGTTTTTCTTAACAAATTTATCCTTCCTAGTTTCTGAGCCAGATTTCATATCACAAGGAAATGCCAACTTGCTCCTTAGCACAGGATTGTTACAATAATCTTCATCTTCTTCATTGATTCCTTCTGAGGAATCAGATTCAGTATCTTCATTTTTTAGAATTGCCCTTCTTTCTTTGTTGGACCCAGCCAAACCTCGTTGATCAATGGGTATAGATGCCCTAAACTTCTCTTGAAATGGCTGCTGTGCTCTATTGTTATACCCTGAATGGAAGTCAGAAGGCTCTTGATGCTTCTTATACTTTTTTCTTTCATAATTCCAATCGCCATATTTCTGCTGGGCTTGGTTGCATAAATAATTAGGGTTCTGTTGTCCATTCCCAGGCCAAATCGTTTCACTTTCATCAGCTAATTCCACTTGACTTCCTCTCAGAGATGGATTTGGAATCTGGCCTTTCCCATAAATCATATTGTCCTCAAATGGATATTTCTGGAGACTCTCAACATAGTTAGACTTATTTCCCAGATCTAAAACAGCTCCTCCTCTAGCATTCGAGGTTTTGCTGGACATGTTGCTATCAAACAAGTGATTCACGGTCTTTTTCCTGCCAGGGCCATAAAAATCTTTTCTCATGTGCGGCATTCGACTTCCAGTCAAACTATCAAAGTACTCTTCTTCACCTCTCAATGCTTCACGTTTCTTTACCATCTTGACTTTATCTTTCAGCCCAGCTCGAGAAAAGTTTTTATTTCTCTGAACAGCCACTTCATACATTCCTTCATCATCATCACCCAATAACCGATCTCGCATGTGATGAGAAAGAGGTAGTGCTCCATATGACCCAGGTTCAATGTCCATCTCATGATGAACGGATGGGAAGCTTCCAGAAAACTCTTTGATAGTAGAACCTCTTGTCCCCCCAGTTAACTTCAACGCTCCTTTAGAACTTTGCTTTCCAAACTTTGCAGTTTCTACAGAAATTTGCTTTCCATGAGGATATTGGAACTCCATTGATGACCTTTGTCCATGTGCTCGATCTTTCACTCTCCTACTCCAAAAAGAAGCATCACCGGATCCCTCTCTCTCAGATTCATCACTCTCCTCCATCTCTTCCATCTTCTCAGAAATGTAACTATTCTGTGTCTTCATGATGTTCAAAACACGAAGCTTCTCCTCGATGCTATATCCCCTGCAGTTTTGCCATCCATCCCTAATCTGACAGAAACTATTGACCATCACATTCTGATACTTCCTGAGGGTGTGATAGTGCTGATGCTTTTGAAAGAATATCAACCCTTGTCGATAAAGCGCCACTCTGGGTTCACACAATCCTCCCTTCAACATGTTGAAGAGAGTTTTAAGAGGGCTTCCAAAATGCAAGTTGCAACCTGTCAGAAGCTCTATCAATGTCCTCATGAAAGTTTCTTGGTCCATGTCGGGAAGGTACTGTGTGAGAGTAAATCTTTCTTCCTCATTCAAGACATCGTTCCAGACATCCATAGACAAGATATTATCCAATCCCTGGAGATCATACAGTTCAAAAGGAATGCTACATGTTTGATCCCCAACTTGACAGAATTCCTCCCCAGACTCTCCCAATTCCAGCAAATCAAAGTCATCTGATCCGGCCCCTGAATCACAATCATCAAACTCCTCATCATCATCATCATCCTCAGTTTCAACTCCACCAGAATTCGTATTATACCTCAGCAACTCCTCGTCACTAGACATCACAACTTCCTTGCTGTGTGAAGAAAGCTCCGAGTCCAATCTGGATGACTTGAAACAATTCTTTTCTATAGCCATTCAAGCTGATATCAATCCAAAACAAACCGCACCCCAGCAAAATTACGCAACAGAACAGAACTTTATGATCAACTCAAACCCTAGCAAATTTCAGTTGACAAAAAAAACTCAAAATCCAATGGATTCATATCATACACTAAAAATTGAACGCAGAAATTCAAATAATTTCAAAAAAGTGGTTTTCAAGCATATTAACACGTACATAAATTGCGAAACAGGGAGTCACGAATCAAAAGTTACCTGAAATCCCGAGAGCGGCGGGGGTGGATTGAACGCAGCCATTGCAAACCAAACAAATGTATTCACAGCGCACTCAAAGGAACGCCTATACAATGGGGGAAGTGAAAGCAGATGGAGGTCATGATATAGTGCGTGCGAATGCTGGAGAGCCGAAAGTGCACGCCAGGCGGCTTGAGCACGTAGAAGGAAGAGGAAGAAGAAGACGGGTGGGAAGGAGCGCCAGAAGACGAGGATGGTTACGAAAGAGAGAGAAAGGGTTTGCAGAGAAAAGGAGTTTAGAGAAAGCGGGTCGGTAAGTGCTGGGATGGGTTGGGTTGATGGGTGATGGAAGCGGTGGAAAGAAGGAGAAGGGTGAGTCGAGTACTGAGTCAAGGTGCCGAGTTGAGACAGAGGTGACGTGGGCCATTTTTCCTGATTTTGAATTTTCATTTTCTTCACTATTTTTTCCTATCTGCTTTTTGCATTCCTCAATCAACCCCGCGCCCTACCCGGATTTTTTTTGTAGTGCCAACTGCCAAGTATATATACGACTCTACGAGTATTCGATAATCAAATGAGGACTATTAATTTAATTTATTTATGTTAAAGAATGAGCGTATAATACGAGTGTGTATACCGTGCAACCGGTGCATTGTGAGCACCATGCACCCATTGTTATATGAGATGTAATTTGTGTGATCCCACATGTAACTTCAAGTTAACCAAAATGTAAATTACATTCATTCACATATAACTCGTTGAAATGTAAACTGCATTAATTGAAATGTAACTTGGAAACAAATTAGATGTAACTTGAGATATGTAACTTTAGATTGTTGAAATGTAAAACGTTTTTACAGAGATGTAACTTCATGTATTAATTACTATATATACACACGCTGCATATCTATATATACATGATGGATTATAGGGATCCAAACTATATAATAAATGGAGAGATTTGAGCTCAAGAATGTGGAGAAGATGAATGAATTGTGAAATTGAGACTTCGGTTCTAGGGTTACAAATGGCTCCAAGAGGAGTATAAATAGGGAAATAATGGGTCGGGCCGCTAATATGGGCCCGGTAGCCCAACTACATAAAAGACTAATCTAGTGCATAGTTACATACAAATGACATATAAGAAGTACAATAATACAAATGATATCCGTAAGATGTGTGTGGGCCGCTGTCCGGGCCCAATAGTCGTGAGATTCGGGGGTCCGAGTCTATATACTCTATCAGGAGTCCCCCACTCTCTGAGTCGAGAGTATTCGAGGCGAAAGAGAGTAGAACTGTGTGCTGATCTGTCGCCGTCTGGTGAGTAAACTTCATGAACAAAAATTTGAATTTCTGCTTCTTTGGTTAACGGAGGCGCTAAGTCCCCCGCTCTTCGAGTCCCCCACTCCTTGAGGTGAGTGTAATGAGGTGAAGAGGAGTAGAGTAATGCGTGTCGGATGATGTCTTCAACAGGGGGCCGAGGGTTGACACCTTTTGATCCACGATGGGGAGATGCCTCGTTAAAAACCTCATTAGGAAAAACCCTGTGGGAAAAAATCCTAATGAGGAAAAAAGAGTACACCGGATGCCCCCAAAATGAAACAAAAGGTGCGAACCCTTCGGCCTGGAGATGGAGCTGCAACGGTGCCCGTCTGCTGGGGCGAGCTCATCATGATCAGTAGTCCTAGTCATCAAATAAAGATGACTAAGGGATGGGTCGAGCGACCGTCCACAATATGATGTCTGGTTCATCAAATAAAGATGACCAGAACGTAAGGCCGATGGGCCGAGAGGCCTGTACGAGAGCTCCACGTTGTCAAATAAAGACGACGAGGCGATGGTGCGGCCGAGGGGCCTGCATAAGAGCTCCACGTCGTCAAATAAAGACGACGAGGTGATGTATGGCCGAGAGAGGCCTATATGAGAGCTCCACGTCATCAAATAAAGATGACGGGGCGACGTATGGCCGAGAGGCCTACATGAGAGCCCCACATCATCAAATAAAGATGACGGGGTGATGTATGGCTCAGAGGCCTATATGCGAGCGCCATGTCATCAAATAAAGATGACGGAGCGAGATATGGCCGATGGGCCTGTAAATGAGCTTCGCGTCATCAAATAAAGATGATGGAGCAAGATGTGGCTCAGAGGCCTACAAATGAGTTCCTCGTCATCAAATAAAGATGACAGAACGATATATGGCCGATGGTCCTGTAGATGAGTTCTTCGTCATTAAATAAAGATGACAGAGCGATATATGGCCGATGGGCCTACAAATGAGCTCTTCACCATCAAATAAAGATGACAGAGCGATATATGGCCGATGGTCCTGTAGATGAGCTCTTCGTCATCAAATAAAGATGACAGAGCGATATATGGCCGATGGGCCTACAAATGAGCTTCGCGTCATCAAATAAAGATGACAGAGCGATATATGGCCGATGGGCCTACAAATGAGCTTCGCGTCATCAAATAAAGATGACAGGGCGATATATGGCCGATGGGCCTACAAATGAGCTTCGCGTCATCAAATAAAGATGACGGAGCGATATATGGCCGATGGGCCTACAAATGAGCTTCGCGTCATCAAATAAAGATGACGGAACGATATATGGCTGAACTCTGGGCTCCTTTAGCCTTTCGGCCGGAGACCGCAAGATGTTCGCTATATCTGAATAGGGGGACGAGGCGGTGGACGCCTGTCTGAATATGAGGACGACGACGCTGATGAGTCAGTCCGAATATGAGGACGACAGCGCTGACGAACCGGTCCGAATATGGGGACGATGGCGCTGGTGAGCCGGTCCGAATATGGGGACGAGGCGATGATAAGTCATGCGTCATATGAAGGCGACGGTCACCATCCAGGAAGGGAATGGCGAGCCTGGTCGCTAGATAAGGACTTCGGCGCTGGGGCCGGTCTAAATGTGAGGACGAGGCGATGATGAGCCGTGCGTCATATAGGGGCGACGGTCGCCGTCCGGGAAGGGATGGCGAGCCCAATCGCTATAACAAGACTTCGGCGCTGGGAGCCGGTCTTGAGATAAATAATCACGTCGCGGCCGAGAGGCTGATCGCGATGTGCGGATGACAATGATGAGGAGCTAGTCCGAAATATGATGACGAGGCGATGATGGAACCGATCGTCATATAGAGGCGATAGTCACCATCCAGGAGGGGATGGCGAGCCTGATCGCTAGCCCAACACACTCGGCGCTGATGAAGCCGGTGTTGTGATAGGGTGTGACGTCGTGGTCGAGGGGCCGATCGTGATGCGAGGTCGTCAGCACTATGAGGCTGATCCAAAAGTCCAAACAGCGGTCGCCATCCGATGAAGGAATGACTGAGACCGGTCTTGGGGATAGATAATCATGCCGAGGCCGAGGGGCCGATCGTGATGTGAGGACAACGACGATGAGGAGTCGGTCAAAACAATGATGACGAGGCGATGGTGAAGCTGATCGTCATATAAAGGCGATGGTCACCATCCGGGAAGGGATGGCGAGCTCGATCGCTAGCTCAAGACTCGCGGCGTTGAGGAAGCCGGTCTTGAGATAGATAATCACGCCGAGGCCGAGGGGCCGGTCGTGATATGAGGACGACGACAATGAGGAGTCGGTCCAAACAATGATGACGAGGCGATGGTGAAGCTGATCGTCATCTAAAGGCGATGGTCACCATCCGGGAAGGGATGGCGAGCCCGATCGCTTGCTCAAGACTCGCGGCACTGAGGAAGCCGGTCTTGAGATAGATAATCACACCGAGGCCGAGGGGGTCGGTCGTGATATGAGGACGACGACGATGAGGAGTCGATCCTATAATATGATGACGAGGCGCTGATGAAGCCGATCGTCATATAAAGGTGATGGTCACCATCCGGGAAGGGATGGCGAGCCCGATCGCTGGCTCAAGACTCACGGCGCTGAGGAAGCCGGTCTTGAGATAGATGATCACGCCGAGGCCGAGGGGCCGGTCGTGATGTGAGGACAACGGCGATGAGGAGCCGGTCCTATAATATGATGACGGGGCGCTGATGAAGCCGATCGTCATATAAAGGCGATGGTCACCATCCGGGAAGGGATGGAGAGCCCGATCGCTAGCTCAAGACTCGCGGCGCTGAGGAAGCCGGTCTTGAGATAGATGATCACGCCGAGCCCGAGGGGCCGGCCGTGATGTGAGGACAACGGCGATGAGGAGCCGGTCCTATAATATGATGACGAGGCGCTGATGAAGCCGATCGTCATATAAAGGCGATGGTCACCATCCGGGAAGGGATGGCGAGCCCGATCGCTGGCTCAAGACTCACGGCGCTGAGGAAGCCGGTCTTGAGATAGATGATCACGCCGAGGCCGAGGGGCCGGTCGTGATGTGAGGACAACGGCGATGAGGAGCCGGTCCTATAATATGATGACGAGGCGCTGATGAAGCCGATCGTCATATAAAAGCGATGGTCACCATCCGGGAAGGGATGGCGAGCCCGATCGCTGGCTCAAGACTCACGGCGCTGAGGAAGCCGGTCTTGAGATAGATGATCACACCGAGGCCGAGGGGCCAGTCGTGATGTGAGGACAACGGCGATGAGGAGCCGGTCCTATAATATGATGACGAGGCGCTGATGAAGCCGATCGTCATATAAAGGCGATGGTCACCATCCGGGAAGGGATGGCGAGCCCGATCGCTGGCTCAAGACTCATGGCGCTGAGGAAGCCGGTCTTGAGATAGATGATCACGCCGAGGCCGAGGGGCCGGTCGTGATGTGAGGACAACGGCGATGAGGAGCCGGTCCTATAATATGATGACGAGGCGCTGATGAAGCCGATCATCATATAAAGGCGATGGTCACCATCCGGGAAGGGATGGCGAGCCCGATCGCTGGCTCAAGACTCACGGCGCTGAGGAAGCCGGTCTTGAGATAGATGATCACACCGAGGCCGAGGGGCCGATCGTGATGTGAGGACAACGGCGATGAGGAGCCGGTCCTATAATATGATGACGAGGCGCTGATGAAGCCGATCGTCATATAAAGGCGATGGTCACCATCCGGGAAGGGATGGCGAGCCCGATCGCTAGCTCAAGACTCGCGGCGCTGAGGAAGCCGGTCTTGAGATAGATAATCACACCGAGGCCGAGGGGGTCGGTCGTGATATGAGGACGACGATGATGAGGAGTCGATCCTATAGTATGATGACGAGGCGCTGATGAAGCCGATCGTCATATAAAGGCGATGGTCACCATCCGGGAAGGGATGGCGAGCCTGATCGCTGTCCGGGCTCCAAGAGGAGTATAAATAGGGAAATAATGGGTCGGGCCGCTAATATGGGCCCGGTATAATAGGGATCCAAACTATATAATAAATGGAGAGATTTGAGCTCAAGAATGTGGAGAAGATGAATGAATTGTGAAATTGAGACTTCGGTTCTAGGGTTACAAATGGCTCCAAGAGGAGTATAAATAGGGAAATAATGGGCCGGGCCGCTAATATGGACCCGGTAGCCCAACTACATAAAAGACTA